AGACAAGACTACCATGTCCACACGGCATGGATAGACAAGACTACCATGTCCACACGGCATGGATAGACAAGACTACCATGTCCACACGGCGTGGATAGACAAGACTACCATGTCCACATGGCATGGATAGACAAGACAACCATGTCCACACGGCGTGGATAGACAAGACTACCATGTCCACACGGCGTGGATAGACAAGACTACCATGTCCACACGGCATGGATAGACAAGACAACCATGTCCACACGGCGTGGATAGACAAGACTACCATGTCCACACGGCGTGGATAGACAAGACTACCATGTCCACACGGCATGGATAGACAAGACTACCATGGCATGGATAGACAAGACTACCATGTCCACACGGCGTGGATAGACAAGACTACCATGGCATGGATAGACAAGACTACCATGTCCACACGGCGTGGATAGACAAGACAACCATGTCCACACGGCATGGATAGACAAGACTACCATGTCCACACGGCGTGGATAGACAAGACTACCATGTCCACACGGCGTGGATAGACAAGACAACCATGTCCACACGGCATGGATAGACAAGACTACCATGTCCACACGGCATGGATAGACAAGACTACCATGGCCACACGGCGTGGATTATTGGAGATGATCTGTATCGGAATTGAATGAAAGTACACGAGACAGAAAGTAATGGATAAACATGACTACCAATGCCACGGACTATTGAAGATCACCTGTGTCAGAACTGATTGAAAGTACACGAGACAGAAAGTAATGGATAAACATGACTACCAATGCCAAGGGCTATATTGAAGATCATCTGTGTCAGAACTGATTGAGAGTAGACGAGACAGAAAGTAATGGATAAACATGACTACACATGCCACAGGCTTCTGAAGATCACCTGTGTCAGAACTGATTGAAAGTAGACGAGACAGAAAGTAATGGATAAACATGACTACCAATGCCACAGGCTATATTGAAGATCACCTGTGTCAGAACTGATTGAAAGTACACGAGACAGAAAGTAATGGATAAACATGACTACCAATGCCACAGGCTATATTGAAGATCACCTGTGTCAGAATTGATTGAAAGTGCACAAGACAGAAGGTTGTGGATAGACGTGACCATCAATGCTGAATGGCATGGACTATCAGTTCTGCTGCCCAATACAACAGTTCTGAGACACAATACGACGGTTATATTGCACAATGCAACAGTTCTGAGACACAATATGACGGTTATATTGCACAATACAACAGTTCTGAGACACAATACGACAGTTATATTGCACAATACAACAGTTCTGAGACACAATACGACGTTTATATTGCACAATACAACAGTTCTGAGACACAATACGACGGTTATATTGCACAAAGCAACAGTTCTGAGACACAATACGACGGTTATATTGCACAATGCAACAGTTCTAAGACACAATACGACGGTTATATTGCACAATGCAACAGTTCTGAGACACAATACGACGGTTATATTGCACAATGCAACAGTTCTGAGACACAATATGACGGTTATATTGCACAATGCAACAGTTCTGATACACAATACAGTGGTTCTGACACATAGTACAACAGTTCTGATGCACAATACAATGGTTCTGAAATACAATACAAACAGTTCTGACACACAATACAACAATTGTAATGCACAATACAACAGTTCTTACACACAGCACAACAGTTCTGACACACAATACAACAGTTCTGACACACAGCACAACAGTTCTGATTCACACTACAGCTCTGACAACAACAACAAAAGCAACAAATGTAATCTGGTTACATAGTATAATCTATGACCTGTTTTATACAATGATTAAGATGAATGATTACATGCACATATCTCAGAATGACACAAATTACAAGCACTTATCTCATGATGATACCAGAATTAGTGCACATTCGCAACGGTAAGCAAACCATCTCTACACATCTCATAATCAAACTTTCCATAGCAACATATGATCCAGCTATTTAATCTGTTCATTTCCCAAAGTGACTGTAAAGTGTCCAGTCCAAGTGAAATGAACGGCCAACAGACCTTGAGAACAGCAGACAGCACAGACATCCAATGTAACAGAACAGCAAACAGCACAGAAATCCAATGTAACAGAACAGCAAAGACAGCAGAGATGTCTAATATAAGAGAACAGCAAACAGCAGAGATGACTAATATAAGGGGAACAGCAGACAGCAGAGATGACTAATATAAGGGGAACAGTAGACAGCAGAGATGTCTAATATAAGAGAACAGCAAACAGATTCAATATAAGATAACTATAGACAGCAATAACATCAAACAGAGAACAGCACTGAGATCTAACATATTAGAAGAACAGCAGACAGCATGAACACAACAGGAGAACACCTAATAGCACATACATCAAACAAACAAAGACAAAACAGACATTCAACACAGACAAAGAATTACAGATAACAGAGATATCAAAATCCATCACAATTCTACACAAATCAACACTGAAATATGTTTAGGATAATAACACAACTTGTCTCAATGTATCTAGGCCAGAAACATAATTTGCTTTAATGCGTCTATGATACAAAAATAAACTACGCGTTCCACGCCGCCTTTAAGGCTGAGGCGGGAGACATTATAAATAGCTCTTCATTGGAACAATCAATAGAGGTACTTTGCAGTGGCAGCTGCTGCTGCATCGGAGGACTGCGCATGCCCGGGAATGCCCAATGTGCAGTGATGATATATAGTATAATTTGCTTCAACGTGTCAATGCCGGAAACATAATGTGCTTCAGTTTGACTTTTATAGGCCCCAGGTATACTGCGCTTGACCTTTGTTTTATAGACCACTCCAAACTCGATGTGGTCAGTATCATGCCGGCCGCCTTTACTTCCCAGGACTTTACCTGGCACCAAATGTACGCTGGGTCAACAGCCCGAAATATCACGCACAAACAAAAACAATTTGTTTCTTCAACAGAAACAGTTTACCGCACCATAATTTGCACCTCCCAACTTCCTTACAGTATCTACAAAAAGTGATCTCCGAATAACGCTCAATCAACTGGTTACAACAACTTTGTATTGTGAGGTGTGAATATTTACAATGATGTGATAAATAAGAGCTCTCAGACCTAGCTCAGAATGTAATCTTAACCGACAACTAGCACAGCTTTGTATCAACCATACAGGGTGTGTGTGTGTGTGTGTTTTTTAAAAGAAAAAAAGGTGCCGGTACTCTACACAAAGTGTTTTTAAAAAGGTGCCGCAACCCATCACAAAGTTTCTATTACAGAAGCACAGAAAAAAAAATGATGCCTCGCAAAAGGTACCAGTACAGCATACCATCGAGAAAAAAAAAAGCCTTAGTAAACAAAAGCAAAGGTGAGTCAGGGTCAAAGATTTTTAGAGAATGTGTGATGTTCAATGGCAACATACCCCATCTCCTAGCAGATGCTGAATACACGGGTGCACATTCACCTGCGTTAGATCTTTCTTGTCTGTGGAACATATACCTATATATTTCTACCTTGCATTAGAGCAAACACAGGTCCTCGCTTTGTGTCGGAATTTGGAGAGCTGTGACAGTGTTGCACAAGGAAATGACATGACTGAATTTGAATAGATATATAATTCTGTTCGTGAATAAATTAGGTTTCTGTGTATCTGCAAGAGAAAAATAGAATCCCCTAAAAATAATCCGTAATGCATTTTTTAAAGAAAAAGTTAATATAAGACTCAGTTAATTGGGGGAGAGGGGGTAACATTAGTTTTTCGACAGATCGTTTATTTCGTAAAATCCACCAAACAACTGTACTTATTACACAGCGTGTATAACTTTCACAATTCTCATTAAAAATTTTTTTAATTTCTGCATATAGAAAATATAACGATATCAGGTTCATCTAAATATTGCAGCCGCAAACAGTACCCGGACAACTAAATATGTTTTCTAGGAACTGTACAATGAAACTAAATAGGGAATTTGTAACAAATAGAAAAATCAATACAGTAAAAATCTTATTCACATGAATCTCAAGGGCCCGAAAAATGGATGAAAAAAAAAAATCAATACAGTAAAATCTCGTTAACAAGAATTCTAAGACACTGAAAATCAAGCCTGGGTAACAAACATTTTGCTCTAATGAGGGACTAATAACAACATATCTCTGCCAGGAGAAATTTGTGTTCATGTTAACTGAATGTTACTTGTAAACTATTTCACTTCAAAGCAACACGGTTTGTGAGTGACAGCATCCCTTGATCGCTCTCCATTGCATGTTTAACATTTAGTCAAAACAAACTATAGAAATCTGGTTTCTCCAATGCAACTACGACTGTGTGTATTGAACAGCATCATCATAAACCACTTCGGTAAGCTTCATGGAAAGGAAAAATTTTGCAATCCAGTCACGCCATAAAGTGTCTTCAATGTTGTTGATGCATACTTTCACTGTCATTCTCTTGCTCTTGTAGCCGATCTTCTGATATGTAGTGCTTGTGATGGTATTTGATCTTGCTGCATTCTAATGAGATGGCCAAACCACTTGATCTGCTGTTTCTCAATTAATCTAGTACAAGTTGTCATTCCCACAATCTGATAGTATCATTATTTACTGGATCTCAGATAGCTAGGCTGGCGGCTTTTCTCAGGTATCTCATCCCGAGTGTATGTTGCCAGTTGGAAAGCATGTATTGCCAACTGGAAGGTAACGTATTCATGCTATTTCCACATGATTATTTCTTCACTCTGGAATCTCATGCGAAACTTGTGATGCTGAAAGAGTTTAGCGAGTTAATGTTGATCGAGATTTTACTGTATTTTAGTTTTTCTAGGGGTCGACATGGTTCACCAACAATGCTACTCGTGGCGGTTGCCTGTAAGAATGGACAGCAGCGGAGTTGTCCTGGCTGCGGGGTGATGAGAAGAAGTTAAAGAGGATAACAACAAACGTGAGGAGACACCACTGCCGAGAATCATGTCTGGGTCAACAGGAGGAGGAAGTCACTAGGATGAGACAACTTTGCCGGTGTCTTCTTTGCCCCTGTACTTGGTCTTGCCATGGGAGAATGGCAGGTATCTGTACTTGATCATGTGCTGAAACACAAGGAGAACACTGATGTCTCAGCCAACTAAACCATTCACATTTTAGCTGTTTTAACTATCAACATCTCTACACACTGAACTATCAACATCTCTACACACTGAACTATCAATATCTCTGCTCAATGAACTATCAACATCTCTACACACTGAACTATCAACATCTCTACACACTGAACTATCAATATCTCTGCTCAATGAACTATCAACATCTCTGCTCATTGAACTATCAACATCTCTACACATTGAACTATCAATATCTCTGCTCAATGAACTATCAACATCTCTGCTCATTGAACTATCAACATCTCTACACACTGAACTATCAACATCTCTGCTCAATGAACTATCAACATCTCTGCTTACTGAACTATTAACATCTCTCCTCACTGAAATATCAACATCTTTGCTGCCCAGATTATCAACATCTCTACCTAAACAATTATCAACAATTCTATGCAGCAGACTATCAATATAGTTTTCAGGTAAACTCTACACACTATAAATTAACAGAGTAACCAACCAGCTTAAACAAAGTGTACAGAGACAACAAATTGAACAGACTCACAACAGACCATACACAAATTTACAATAGTTTGTATACAGATTTGCAATTAACTACACACAGACAACAAAGTGCATACAAATTTACATAAATATCTATACAAACTTACTCACACAAAACCTATACACACACAGACAGCAAACTGCACACAAACTTAACCCCCCCCCCCCCCCCAAAAACTTCTACTGAACATCTAACTGGTAAAATGACATAAACTGACGACAGTCAACACCTCACAGATCAACTGCAGGCCTCCTCTGTTTAACAGCAACTGTTATCAACCTCTTGGCTCTAGTAGATCTACATTCACTCTTAAAAGGTCGGTTGGCATGTTGTGGTTTATAGCTAGGCTGTGATATCCTTGCTTTTAACCCAACACATCTGACCAGCAGAAACTGTGTCGTGAGCTGCTACACACTGCAGGATTTACAAAGGAGTGGATCTGAGCACTTGTGGACATAATGGTTCGATGCGCGATGAGGATAATCTGTCGACTAACTAACTAATTAGCTGCCCCTTACTACTACTTCTTCCTTGCATTCACCAGCTGTAAACTTCGGCAGGAAGTTTTAGTTATTCATCCATATCTAGACTTCAGTCTTGTAACAGAACATGAGTTTTACCAGCTCATCCTTTTCACAGATCTGGCTTATTTGTGTGCAGACTGTTGGTTCCTTGCCTCTCAGCAGATCAACTCCGGCTCCGAAATGAAATGCCACCAAAAATTGACTTATATGATATGCGTGTCAGGGGTAAGTGGGTTTATTCTTTTTTTTTCACACAATGCAGTTTCTGTACCCAGACGGGACACTACCTCTTATGATATGCTTCTTAGGGGGCAGTCAGTCTATTTACCCACCCTCCCTCCTTATTTCCAACTGGGAGCTCCAGTAGTTCTTTAAAAAAGAAACAGCACCTCCCCACAAACAAAAAGACAGATAAACGTGACATTCAAACAAAAGTTCACTTACCTTGATCTGCCTCTTCATGGTTAGAGTAAAGAGGATAAAGAAATACATGACGAGAATCGGCCAGAAAACTGGGATGTTGAGGGCATCGAAGAAAGTACAAATCATTGCAATTGCAATAGCTTTTGTGAATGAGTACCTGTTGATGATACAAGAAGAACAGAATTTGCAAACATAATCTCAGTGACAAAAATAAGAACGAAATTCACAAACATGATGTTCTGACAAGAAAAAAAAGAACAGGAATTCACAAAATGAACTCTGTGAAGAGAATAAAAACCAGCACATCAAACTTCAGTAACTTTATCAAGACCTGTACAATGTGTACGCATACAACAACACATCAAACTTCAGTAATTTTATCAAGACCTGTACAATGTTGTGTCCACATACACCAACACATCAAACTTCAATAACTTATGTACAACCAACATGATCTGGACAATGTTGTATATTGTTAATAACACTGACATCAATACATCAAACTTCAGTCACTTAGTGTACAACCAGTATGATGTGAGCACTGCTGCATATTATTAACAACAGTGAACCCTGCACATCAAACTTCAGTGACTTTACACACAACCAACTTGATGTGCACAGTGTTTTACATTACTAAGGACACACACACCAACACATGAAACATCAGCAATTACGTCTATACTGGATGTTATGTGTACGACATACCAAACTTTAACAAGTGAACATACTGCTGGTGTTACTTGTACTTATATTCATTCTTGGTAGTGGACCTAGCACAGCTCCATGGGGCACGCCTAGATTTAACTGAGTGGTCTGACAGACGGTTAGTGAAGGACAACTCTTTGCTGCCTATCAGATAAAACTGACTACATTGATGTGACTAAACTATTGCCAGTTTTCAATGTATTAATTAGCATATAATGACCTACCATATCAAAGGCGTTCTTTAGGTCCACAAAAACCGCTTCATAAATGTTACCATTGTTGTTATATCTCACTAACCTCAAGCAAATGAGCCTATCTGGCCTGGATGGAGTCAGCAATGGAATTCAATATGGTCTGTCTGTTCTCAATGCCAGTAGTTTACATATGATGCCACAGGCCTCTATAAAGGCTGTCGTGTGATGTATGCCACACACTGATCCACACAGCTTTGTTTCCTCCAGAATACCAATTGGGCAAGAGGTCTGTGTGGTATCGAGTCATGGTGTCTGCCTAGAGTGCTAGAGGTTCTGGGTTCAATCTCCGATAAGGGCTGGGATTTTTTTCACTTGGACTTGGACTTCTAGTAATTCCCCCTGGTTTCTGGGTAGTGAGATCCGAGGCCCATGTGCATTGTTGCGTGCGTTAATAAAAAATCCCTTGGCAGTTGGAAATAGAAAAGAGTAGCCCAATGGTGCTGCCCAGACCAAATTTAAAGTTTAAAATCTACACAAAGTATTTCAGGATTCTCGCCGATGCAACTGAGCCTGTGCACTGTGATCAGCTTCTTCGGACTCAAACTTGAGCTAGAAGCACAGAGTACTTATGGTTTTCTACCCGTGCGCCATGATGTTAATCAGTTGTTCAAACCTCAATGGGCAGACCTGTGGTCTCCCCACTGCAGCAAGTATTAAGTATTGTGTCGTGTCCGCCGACATGGGCAAAGACCTGAACCTACTATCTTTAATTTCTTGGACATATGGCTACGGAGTTGGTTAGCTGTGTCCAGTCAAAAGTTAGTGGTGTATTCTTCACAGGATGTTGCAAAACCAACCCCAGCATTTTTTGGCAGTGGTTTTTCTAGGCAAAATTCAGTTAAGTAGTTTGCCACTGCTTTCTGAATGGTCAACTTTCGGTACCACGGTTGAAACCAAAGCAAGACCAATCATCTGCAGCCAGGATCAAACCTGGTACCCCTGCATTACAAAGCGCATTTGCAACACCTAAGCCATAGGCGGCGAAAGTTATGTCCAGTACACAATCTAAAAAAAAAATGGTTTGCTGATTTTGTGTGCGAGGTTGACTGGGTCTCTGGGGCTGTATTCTGGATGGGAAGTGTTTCAATGATTGCTTTGATCTGTTTGTGTTAGCACTTTTGATGGCTTCCATATGCTTGACTGCGTGTGTATGCTGGTGCATATGCTGAGACAGCAGTCTGTCAATCTCTCCACAAGGGACTGGGATAAACATTCTGTTTTTCATTGGCACAGGAGCGGAGCAACTACAGGGTGACCCGTTTGCTATGAAGCTGAAACTAACATGACTATATCTGCTTGGTTAAGCTACCCATTTGATTCGTCATAGTTTTAGTCACAGTTTAAAGCTTGTCAAGGTGAAGTTGTTTATGACCTTGCAAAACTAAATGAGCATGTTATGTTACTTGCAAACAACTTGTATTTGATGTCTCCTGCAAAACAAACACTCACCAAAACTTAAACTCAGGTAACCGCCGCATGAAGGGCCGGAACTCTTCGCTGTTTTTCGTGGGTAACGACGGCCCGTCATCAGCATCTGTCGACAGACAAATGAATAAAACAATTTCAGCTGAAGTCCAATTCTGATGCAAATTACTGCTATACACAGGCAAGGCAAAATGGGCATATAGTTAGAATTCTTATCCACACTTTTTAAAATTTCAAATGTTCTGTTAATTGTCAAATAGAGTTTAGTTAAAATTTATGCTATAGCACCTCCATATGTGACATATCCCAATCTTTACTAGAAATATGTTTACAACTATAACTTGAATATGCCCAACCATTTATACTGCCTTAAAATGTGGCCACTGTTACTCATAATCTGCTGCATACAGAAGAAGACAACAAAAACTGCTCACTGACCTGAATCCTCAAATCCTGCAGGATCAATTTTTGGGGTCAAGAAGGCTATAAACAGGTTCAAGAGATAAATTCCTAGAGCATACGTGACTATATACCAGCCCTGCAAAAGAAACATAACATACAATACTTATATTATCAACACATCACAATGTACATACATATTTCTAAATACAGATAAATGTCTAGAATGTTGAAAGAATGGACATCACAGCATTCGGGAGACCCCCATAAGTGCTCCGTCCCCATCTTCAGCAGCAAGCAAAGAGTTCAAATTTTGCAATGGTACCAATAACTGTTTGATTGTATATCCGTCTCGCTTTTCCATTGAGTGTTGAGCGTCGGCCAGATTCCCTTGTAACTCCTCACAGTGCCATTCTCCTCAGACCGTAATGATCTATCTGTTCCTCGGCACTGTTCATTCGCTCCCAAAGAGCCCTCACAACATCCAGCTTGTCATACATCAATCAGTTCTCCACAAGACTACATGTCTAAAGCATCAAAATAATGTACTAAGTCACCTGACGCTTAGTCCAATGCAGAGACTCAATCTTTACTTTGTCCTCATTACCTCAGTGAAAAGTCAGTAAGAGACCAAAAAGATCTGTGTATTCTTTCTAATGCGGGGCGTAAGTTGGTCTTCATTTCTTTATTAAGGTTGTTCATGATGACATCAATCCCTCCATCATGTGGGTTCCCCTTGTACTGTTCTTATTATCTTTCTTTAACGTGGCTTCCTGTGGTACGTGGAACCGAGGCTTTCTAGTTAGACGGCCAAACTATTTGTCTGCATTTTATTTCAAAGTTTGTGAATACAGTTAATAAAAAGTTTAAAACTAAAATGCTTTTAATTTCAGTGAAAACAGTTTACTTGATTATCTCATAACATCTGGTGATAATTAACTATGTCAACCATTTTAAGCATGATGCTAAATGCGAAAGATGGTTCGAAGGATGCTAATCTCTAATGAATAACTCTACACCTGCAGCCATAAACATTACATGTGTGTGCGTGCCTGTTTACGCGCATGTGTGATGCTGATGATATAGTTTTGATAGCGACAAGTCAGACAGAACTACAGCAGGAAATGGTAGATACAGTAGTGATAGAAAGGGATAAAATGGATCTGAGTCTGAAAAATGGGAAGACAGAAGTTATAATGATAAAAGAAAAGAACGGTCTCTAAATGTATAATAACAGTCAAAGGTGTAATATTAGGACAAGTGCAGAAATTATAAATTTCAGGCACAAGATAACATCCTATGAAGATGTATCTCAGAGATTGAGACCGGTATAGGACAGACCAAATCTTTTAACAATTGGCTGTGAATCCTTGGACAATTAAATAAACAAGCCAAAGGGAGATGCGGTTTTTCAGAAATATTCTTAAGAGTCCCGTGAAAATCCCAAAAGAGCAACCCAGATAGTTTGAATGAGGAGAGGGTTTGAAGACAACTTATCACACGCACCAGAAAGAAAGAGTAAAAACTGTCTGGGTCATGTTATGAGAAGTAGGACACTGGAACATGTGGTTACCACTGGAAAGATCTGTGGAAAAAGAGACAAGGGAATACATTGCAAGGAGATTCTCAAAACCTAGTGCCATTGGCGGGACATTAGTACACAAAGTGATGCATGCTGTTAAGGATCGTGGATTCTGAATAGGCAAGACTGCCCTTGCCAGTTGGTAAGGCACTTGACGATGATATACATGTATATATCTGAACAAAGGTATAAATAATCAACTGAACAATTTAGTGTATGTCATATCTTAAATGTGCTTATGTCCTTTGTGAACAAAGACAGGACATTTTGAATTCTGTACATGTCAACTGGTCCTAGAATGCAACGCTTCATTTAGGCCCCCCATAAATTATTTTTGTCCAAATTTGTGCCGACAGAAAAATAGTTAAGACTATGGGACAAGGGATACTTAGGACACCTCATGTATGAACAAACTTGATTTCCAAAGGGTTACAAATTGGACCCATCTTACATTCTGCCATTCCAAGCATTTATCTTTCAGGGGGCAGCTGCAATTTATATCTTGAGCATATAATGTTAATATTCAAACTGAATTGTACAAATGTAAAAAAAAAAAATTTTTTTAATACAAAAGCATGGATGATAAATGCATACCACTAAATAAACATTCAAAAATCCTCACATTGCAGTGTCTGTGGGTGAGTCGGTATGTTGTCTGTGTGTGTGTGTGCATCTATATGTGTTTTTATATGTGTATATGTGTGTGCGCCCATGTCTGCATGTGTCTATATGTGTGTATCTCTGTGCGTGCCTGTTTGTGTTTATATGTGTATTTGTGTGTGTGTCAATGTATGTGTCTGTGTGTGTCTCTGCCTGCCTGTGTGGGTGTCCGTGTCTCTGCCTGCATGTGTTGTGTAGGTCTGTGTGCGTGTTTGTAGGTGTCTGTGAGTCTATGTCTGTGTGTTTAATTGTGTGTATGCATGTGCATGTATATATGTAGGTGTATGTGTGTGTGAGTGAGTGGGTTTGCTTGTGTGCACATGCATTTTACACCTTTGCTTTTGTATTTTTGCTTGATATTTATTACAGGTATATTATTATACGTACATAACATGTTTTATTGATGAACTGCTGTGTGAAAGACAGGTGTTTGGAAGGGGTGAATGTAAGACTGACCTGCGTGCCTAATTAGTGACCCTTTGAATATAAAGCTTGTTCATTTGACACACGCAAGCACACACATACACATCAACCAAAATTGCACACACTGATTACACACAAAATAAAAAGGAACACACAATTACAGATAGAATACACACACACAACACACAGTCACAACATGAAAACAGACATGACATACACACCGATGAGAGTTAATTAGGTGAGAAAGGTGGCAAATAACTAAGTGGCTTTTTTTTAGACACAAAATAAACAGGCACACACACAATCACAGATAGAACACACACATACAACATGTACACACAGAAGAAAAACACATACTGTCACAACATACACATGCATGAGATTTAATGGGGTGAAAAGGTGGCAAATAATCAAGTTGCTTTTGTGGGAAAGCTCTGATGTTATACAAAGGACCTGCTAGTAGGATTATGATGGTGTCTCTAACTAGAAGAGTAGAATTCTAGCGGCTAAACCACCAACAAAACTTACTTGTAGGAAGAATACACGGACACCGTAAGCAGCGGCCAGGAGTACTGCAGAGACCCATCTGATGGTCATGTGGGGCGTGGCTTTATCCAGGTAATATTGATGCCTCTGAGGAGAGCAGCAGACCAACATTAACAGTGCTGAGTCAACTAAGAGAAGCACTGGCAATGGGACAGGGATGACAAGAAAATCTCTAAGGAGAGAAAGGGGAAGATGGGGAGAGAAATGTGAAGAAGGAATGGAGAAGGCAAGACCAATGAAGAGACATCAACATTGGAAAGAAATAAGTGGTGAGAGATAGACACACTGATGAGAACATCTTGAAGAATGAAAAGAAAGAAAACAAGAGAGAGAGAGAGAAAGAAAAAAAGAAAGAAAGAGAAAAATAGAGATACACAGAGAGATAGAGAGAGAGACAGAGAGAAAGACTGACAAGATATATGATGTCGGCAAGAAGGGGAAAGAGATGGGAGTGGTTGGGAAACTAGCAAGATGATCTCAAAGTTTAAAGAAAAGGTTTTTGGGGGAAAGAGTGCCCTACATCTTAATAGAGCATCCATTCAGACTTCCAACACATCTCACTCGCATTTGGTTTGTGTTGTAAACTGCAAATTCATAAAACTGCAATTGGCCAGCTCCCACAGAAATGGTGTTGTCTTATGCGATGAATTGCATGTGCAATTGCTGATTTATTTAACTGCTGCTTCCACTGATGGTGAATTGTAATTCTAGTGGCAGACTTTGTGTTGGCTGTTTCATGCATTCAGTGCACATGTATGATACTGGCCTTGCCCAGACTGCAGCCTGTTTCAGTATTTTCCCAAGAAGCAGAGACCGTTATTCAGTGCCGTTTTTGCTGGCACACGAGTGGGGCAACTAAGGGGTGACCCATTTGTTGTGAAGTTGGAGCTGCGATTGATTAACTCTCATGTAATGTTGGTTTCCTCTTACGCACCCCCCCCCCCCCCAAACCTCTTTAGCAATCAGCTGTGCCACTATAAGGCAAAAAAGTCTTTATGACATTGTGATTAAGTGTGCATACACAGAGATCACATACAGATAATATGGTCAATATAACAAGCACATACACATGAGCAATTCAGTCTGCTGGCACTTACATTAGAGATGGTCTTGTAGATTCTAAACGCCGTCCCTGGAGGGGCTGGGCTCGAGTCTAAGGCTTCCATTTTTATACCTGCTTCTGTAACAATCAGCATATGCAGTTACAGCTAAAAAAAAAAAGCTATCAACAGACAAGTTATATAAATAGTTTAAAGTTGCGTCATATCCCAGCTCAGTGTCACTTCCTAAAAATACCCATATCCCGCTACAACACACAGAGATGCATTGTTTGTTGTTTGCGTTCACAGGCTGTAAATCCCAGTAGAAAAGACTTGGTTATTTGTCCATTCCTGGACTCTGGCTTTGTTTAGGATCTGTGTTTTGCCTGTGCATCTGTTTTTCAGATCTGGCTTTTTTGTATGCAGACTGCTGGTTCCTTGCCTCTTAGGCAGATGCACCCTGACTTTGAAGGAAGCCCCCAATTAGTCGACCCTTATGACACATGCTTGTTGGGGAGACAGTGGGTCTATTCCTGTTTTCTCCTCACACTGGGGCCCTGGAACCCACATGGGGAATACTCAGAGGTATCAACTTTTCACAGCAGTTATGGAGATTGTGCGATGGATAAGTGAATTTCTTGTTTGTAACTGTATCACAGTCCATTTCAGTTGCATTCTGCAGCCCCTGTGTCTGTTCCAAGCACCAGCTTGGTGGCGAAGGAAGGGGGGGGGGAGGGAGGGACAGACACCCCCCCTCCCCAAAGTTACTTTTATGTCCTCCTCAGGATGCTGCAGAACCATCCCCAGCATTTGACTGATTTCACTAGGGAATTGTATTTTCAGCAGTTCGGCACTGCTTTCTGAACAGTCAGCTCTGAATATCACTGTTGAATCCAAACACAAGACATTCCGCTGCACTGCATACAAACAAGCTAGGAAAGTATCTCATTACTATGAGGCTGGATCAACCCAGATCCTTACTGTTCAGAGGAAAAAAAAATTACGCTACTCTGGTGGAGACTGAACCCTGGCCACTGTGTAGTGTACTGTCTCTCAGCAGGTAGGCATAGGAAAAACTACCCCCCCCCCCCCCGAATTTTTTACTGACGCTAACCATATATGTAGTAAAGCAAAGCTTACTGTATTGTATACTAATACACCCCGTGTGAGTTATGGGGTCCCATTGTGGGGGAATCAAGAAAAGACCCAATGTCTCCCCAACAAGTATGTCGTTAGAGTCGACGAACTGGGGGCTTCTTCCAAAGACAGATTGCATCTGCCCAAGCAGCATGGAACAACCAATTACACACAAAAAAGCCAGTAAAACCGATGTACATGCAGAATTCAGACCTTGCCATAAAGCCAAAGTCAGAGTGGATGAACAATCAGCACTTTTTACTGGAGCTTACAGCCGGTCAACAAAGAAGAAGTATACCCGATACAAAAATGTGTGCTTTCTTGGAAACTATACCACAATGTCTGGATCACTATCTGTATGATGGTTTTATAAAAATCATAGTTAATTTAGACAAGTTTAGTAATAGTCAGGACTTTCTATGGTTATTCCTGGCAGTAATCAGCACTGGCACCTTTTGTGGGTATCATTTTAGCACTACCGTGGTGAATACCAGCGAAATCTTTTAACAAAACACTGTGTGGTGAGTACCTGCGAAATCTTTTAACAAAACACTGTGTGGTGAGTACCTGCGAAATCTTGTAACAAAACACTGTGTGGTGAGTACCTGCAAAATCTTTTAACAAAACACTGTGTGGTGAGTACCTGCGAAATCTTTTAACAAAACACTGTGTGGTGAGTACCTGTGAAATCTTTTAACAAAACACTGTGTGGTGAGTACCTGCGAAATCTTTTAACAAAACACTGTGTGGTGAGTACCTGCATCTTTCTTATTTAAAAGGAAGAAATCGCTGGAATTACAGACATTACATTAGTTTAGTGAGGCTAGAAAAGTCAAGAAAACAATGTGTAAAAATAAACATAGTAATTTATTACCAAATATAGCTAGCAATGTCTCAAATTATTCTACCATGTTTGATTGTTTGGTTTGATGAAAAGTAAAAGTACTAAATGGAATATCTCTCCAGAATTACAATTTAATACAAATCTTCATTTATAGTTCACACAATTTATTCATTTATTTCTCAAATAGTCAACTACTCTATGACTAGTAAATACCAATAACTTGAATTTGAACTCTGTCAACTCTACCAAACCAAACATAACTAGCACTATTTTCAATGATCATTGGTTTTGGTTTGTCGAAAAGAAAGGTGCTAAATGGAACCTCTCTCAGAAATCTAAGAATCATAATAATAACAAATCATCATCATATGATCCATTCATCAACGTCTTAACTAGTGAACTCTAGTCTAGACTCTAAAGCATAGGAGGTTCTCAACAGGCAACTTGCGGTTGCAACCCTTTTTTTTGGTGTGTGGGTCGAATGACCCTTTCACAGGGGTCACCTAAGACCATCGGAAAACATATATTCATTGAAGTTTTAAAGGAAAATAACTGTTTGGGGGTCGCCACAACATGAAGGAACTGTGGTCGCGACACTAGGAAGGGTGAGAGCTCCTACTCTAGAGAATAACAACAATTTCTGGAACTTTGTAAACTCTTTCAAATCAAAAATAAACTAAAACAAAATAGCACTGTTTTCAATGACTGTTTGGTTTGTTGAAAAGGAATGTCATCCTTTTATCTGTTATCGTCACAATACGATTCATTCTTTGACTTCCAGTGAACTCTAGTAACTATAAATAAAACTATTACTAGTAATTCTAAGTAGTCGTCGCCGTTTATTTATCTAGTGAATAAAACTAAAACTAACTGGGAACCCAATTCGTTCGGTTATGGTTACTTTGTCAACGGTTTGTTTTTTATGTTACCGCTAGTTAATTTCACAGAAACATCTCAGTTAACACCATTTCACAATCTGGAGTAATGTGTGAGCCTTACATCTGATAATACACGAGCCAGCGGTGACTATAATCACCTGAATGAAGATACAAACACAACAAAAGCCACGTAGGAAGTATGTTACAACATCTCACGGGTAGCCATTTTGGTTAGGCCGGAACTTCCGCCATGTGTCTGATTTTGTTGTCACGGCAGACCAACGATTACATCAGGCCGAATAATATGTTTTGCCACACTTTATATTCTACATCTTCTTCTTCTGCGTTTGTCCTTACCAGAGAGCTTAGCAGGTTGAGTTGTGGTTTGCAGTTTGGCTGTAAAATTTGCAGCTTTTGGCCTAATACATCCGATTTCAGTATATTGTTAAGTAATCGCCTTTTACGACATGCATGTTAGTGAGACCCCATCACCTCCAGTAGGATTTTTAAAGGTGTATTATGTCTTTTAATTTGGCTTAAATAATGCAATTGTCTCTTTTTCTTATTTCTTTCTACAATTACCTTTTCATTCATTATCTCTCCAGAACCTCTGTATGTGATTGTTTTTGTTTCCAAGAAATGCGACATTCTTCTGTTATCCACATTTCCAAAGACTCAGTTCGATTTTCTAGTTGCCTGTTTATTGTACAGGCTTATGAACCACACAACAGGGCTGAGTATAATACCATTTAAAGATTCTCATTTTTTTTATACATGTTGTTTATCTTGAGCCCTCAGTGATGTGGTTTTACAGAAGAATGCTTAAAATACATTGGACAGCGAAAAAGAGCAAGCAAGAGGTTTTGAAAGACGGAAGCCCGAAGACAACTAATCACAGACATCAGAAGGAGACGGTCATAATTTGTCGGCCATGTTATGAGAAGAGGCATAATGGAACATGAACATGAATGGAGTGATAGAGGAAGACAACGAGAGAAGATTCTTGCAAGTTCTTCACGAACTGATACATGCTGCAGGAAATCGTGGATTGTGGAGAGGCATGATCGTCCACTCCAGTCGGCAAGGCACTGATGATGATGACGTTTTTAATCTATCTTAGCTATCAATAATTATCACAACATACTGATGAACAACACTACTGCCCTAGAGCAAGAGGTAGACCGAGAGTACGATGGATAGACAATATATCAGAGATCCTGAGGCAACACGGACTAACAACAACACGTGCAACACACCTGGCCCAGGATAGAAAACTGCGACTCCCCACTACGCTGTGAGGCAATTGTGGACAAGACAAGACAAGACGACAGTTTTATAGATTCATATGTATATATATTTTTATTTTTTTTTTTTTTTTTTTTTTAATTTTTGTTCACTTCTATCCTCATCTATTACTACCAGTCCAAGATAGGGTACACTTGTTGCTTGTTCTAATATCTCTCCGTTTTATGTCATCTTTACTGTTCGTTGCTGGTTATCAATATATGGCCAAAGGTTGACTATAGAAGATTCCTCCTTTAACATTAGGTTCTGGATAACATAGTGCGGCAAGGAGTGTCTAAAGGCTCTGACAGACATTCAACAGTCAGAAGAAAAACAATAACGGGAAGACGAACAGACGGTCAAAATTTGCCACCGAAACTGAAACTCGTCGCTTTCTGATCAAATGGGGACAGAGAGCTTATGGGGGTTGTTTTCAACCTTTGCACCCCATCTCGGCGACAGCGAGATTAGGTAGGTTTCTTCTTCTTCTTCTTCTGCGTTCGACATCAGTCATGCTAAACATTGAGTCCCGTCTGGGTCACAAATAGGATTGTGCGTTTAAGGTCACCACCGGTCCCCAATAGCTTCTCTTTCAATGTGGCTCCCTTGGGCCAGATCCACAGTCTTTGCTGGGAAAGGTAAGGGCAGTACTGTAGTATGTGCCCAGGGGTCTGTCTTTTTGCTCCATAATCACAGGCAGCAGATTCTTGTATGCCTATCCTGTATTAGGTAGGGAGTTCCTAGGAAGGTCCTATAGTACTGGTAGGGTTGGGTTTAGTGTTTGTCGGTTTTGTTTGTTTGTTTGTTTTAGTATCCAGAAGCCATGAGTTGTTAACCCTTAGGCTCGGTATTATGGATATCGCAACCTTTCGGCCTCGATTCCATTGTAAATACCGTAAATCTGGGAGAAATGTGGCTTTCCTGCCTACCCCCGGGATTAAACCCGGACCACAAGGAGTTCGTCACCCGGTCTCCGCGCAATC